TCGGCGGGAGCGCTGCGACAATTCCTCCATCACCCGAGGATGCTGCTGCAGCGTGGTGGTCGTCGGTTTCCTCAGAAATCACGGCATTGTTATGTGCCGGACGTTGATAGGCCTGCTTAGCCACATAATGCGGCTGGGATTGTCTCTCGTTAGCGGCCTTGTCGTCCGTTTGGATGACCAAGTTCGCTCGATCCGGAATGCCCTGGAATGTGGTATAGTCGTACTCATTACCGAGTGCCGACCGCAATCCCGCGCATGATCGCGAGAAGAACTCGGATCGTTGATTTGGAAACGTCAAGTCGAAGCCTGGTGTGGTCCCTATCTTTTGCCACTTCGTTGTCCAGTCTCGAGTTGGCATGTTCCCCTGAGAGCATATGTACATTTCATTCATGGCCGCCTTCACGACGTTGCGGACCATGAACCGGGTGAACCATAGCTGCTCAAACTCCTTCCACGTGATGTGCGTGTGGAGTTCGGCGATGGTGCACTTGTGGTGATCGATGCGTTCCTTGATTTGCTTCGTCGCGTCCGTCGTGCAGCTTGGCGCTGCTGAGGCCTTGGCCTCAATGTCGTTGATGCGTAAGATGGTAGAGTTCATCAGCTGTTGCTGTTGCTGCTGCTGCATTGCTGCATCGCGGACGCCGACCGTTACAGCGGCCAGGTCTTGTTGGTACTGCTGTTTTTGCTGTCGTTCCGCGTGTAGGTGTGCCTGCAGTAGTTTGTTGTTCCACATTACTCCCCTCATTACGTTCAACATCACGGTAGCCAGGTTACTTCTCTCTGCCTCCGCCTGTGTCGGCTCCGCCTGCGTTTCCGTAGGCACAAAGATCATGCCTTGGAGTACCGTTGTCCACTTATGCTCACTAGCAATCAGGGACTCCGTGTTGGCGGCATTCCGTCTGTTTCGTGCCGCTTCGTCAGTCTCAGCTGTCCGCTGAGCTTCGGCTGCCGCCTCATTGGCCAGCCGCTGACGTTCTGCCTCTGCCGCAGCCTGCTGAGCCTCGGCGGCGGCTACGGCGTTTGTAAATGCTTGTAGCCGCCCACGATAGTCAGCCAAAGGCTCGTTGGCCTCTTGGACCGGGCATGCGGGAAGATCTCCGGTGGTGTCTTGTACTGTCAATGTCGTACTTGATGCCGCTGGAGTCGTCCGTCTGCTGAATCTCTTGGGTCTTGGAGGTACCGCAGGGCGGGCACGAACTGCGATTCTGGCACTACGCCGTGGCAGTGCCCCGTTGTCCTGTTCTATCGACATCAGTCGGAACTGATGCGGTACTTGAGAGGTGTCGGTGTTCACAGAATACAGGGGGGTAGGGAGAGTGGGAACAGGGGTAGAACAATCAAGCAATATACATACAATCCCCTGTCCCACTGATGGACTGTAGACACCTAATCAAACAGAAATATAAGTTTCCCGTAAATCACTCCAAAATTCGTAATAAGAATTTACTAACGATTTAATCAGTAAAATTAATTAATGATAAATAACGAAATAGTAATTCTTAATGAAATAACGAATTTGAATGGTGTTATGATTCGGTCTCTTTGATTCACTTGAGTTCGGGAGTTCACCGTTAATGAGTGAACTACCCGGAAGTTGCAGTTTGAGGATCAGATACGCTTAGTGTGCTAAAAAAAAATTCGGAAAATTTCAGGAGAAAAAACGCTCGAATTTTCAAAAAACGCGAATTTTCGGGAATTTCCACCGTCAAAATCCGATTTTTAAAAGCCTAAACCTGTTTCCGGAATTTCTGAAACAAGGGGAATGAAAGAAAAAATTCGCGAAAATTTCGGTCCCAACCCTAATTTTTCGCGTTTCCGCGAAATTTTCGGATTTACGGTCCCCAAAACGGTTGAATTTCCCCAAGTTGATCTAAAACCAAAAAGATTTTCGTAACCCTWATTCCAATACTGAAAGACAACGGAAATCTCAAAAGAAAACGAAATATAGGATTTACAACAGAATGCCGAAAAACGGAATGCTGAATGGAAATCAGAAAAGCCGAATTTCAAACATGATACTGATTCAACCTTAATTGCGAATTACTAACCAGAAATCCGAATCAAATAGAATGTTGGATTAGTATCAATTTCTCGGATCTAATTAAACAGCGTACCGGCATAGGACAGAAATCCGAATAAGAAGTCCGAATACTGAATTGAAACGGAATGCCGAAATAACCAGAAGACCGAAAAAAAAAGAAATTTTGCAACTTTAATCTCGGTAATAATTCAGCGCCGATTTAGAGGATCAATCAAAATAATCTAATTCTAAACGGACTTACCTGGTGAGCATATCCGTTATTGGTCTGTTCCGATACCAAAACTGTTGCATACTTCAATGAGTATGGGCAGAACCAAAGATCAACCAATGTAGGATGAGCATATATGCAGCGGAAGTCTGATAAACGGACTGACTCACATAGACTGACTCACATAGCATCACTCCACAYACATACAATCRTGAGATGGTGGGGTCTGGGCCATTCATAGACGATGCCCAGATCCCGTACACGCATTCACAGATGAAAGGTGGGAGGAGAGACGAAGGAGGTGGGGAGGTAGACAACACCGATAGATAGAGTCTGATAGGTCTCCGATACGGTAGTCCAAAATGTCATACAACAGGATCAAAATGTCGAGGCCCATAGGTCACCAATGTCGGAGATACAGAGTCCAGATGTAACCGGTGTCCAACTGTGATGCAGCCGAGTGTCAACCTCAACAATCTCCAAGTCTCCAATCAGGTAAGTACCACAGTCTCATATCACCGAAGTCCAACTCTGATCTCTGTCCAACTAGTATAAGTCTCTAGTCTGAAGAAGAAGAAGAAGAAGAAGAAGGAGGAGAGAGAGGGAGAGAGGGAGAGAGAGCTGACGAGGGAGGGAGGAGAGGTCCTCCGCTCCCAGGGACCTCAGGCGGCAATGGCCGCCGTGCTGGCTCAGTCGCCCTGCTGCTGCTCCGCTTGCCGCTGCGCTAATACTGCGCTACCGCTGCTGCTCCTTGCTCTCTCCTGCGCTAAACTTAGCGCATCAAAACAGCGCTCTGGCGCTGACCATAACGCACTGGTAGAGTGCCGGTGGTTCGATGCCTCCAAGTGAGGCTGTACCGGTACTTATACCGGTGGGGCAGAGGCCGACCTCAATGCTGCGAGGCTTGGCCATGCCCTGAACCGTCCAGATGGACGGTTCAGCCCCAACCGGCGGGCGGCAGCCTCAAGAGCGCCGCCAGGCCCAAACGATAATGCCGTTTGGGCCTGCCCGTCGGGTACTAGTCCAAGATCAGACCTTTAGGGCCTGTAATACCCCAAGGTCGGGCCTTTAGGCCCTGATGTGTCCTTCCGGCCCTAAGTCGGGTCCGGTAGGACCCGTGTGCGTCGAAGATGTAACAGTTACCCTTGATGCCACTTCTTCCATATTAGTCTGTTGTCTGTTATGGTGGCCACCTTGCTGTTTATTAGCCAGTCCTTTAGGAATGCTTGTCTCTTAGCTGCATGCTTATCTGGTCTGTGTTTCGCTGATGAAGATATCGTCCGCCATATGCTCCGGATTTCGGTCTCCGCCATGTGTATCAAGAGAGTCCACATTTCTTCCTTTGCCACCTCTGCTCCCTCAATTGTCTGTGTGCATCGTCGTTTCCATATGATCCACAGAGTTAGTTTTCTGAGTTACTGGAACCAGACATCGCTGCTGCCCTTGAGGTGCCCGGCAGTGTTCAGGAGGAGTTGAATGGTTAGGGGGGAAGTGTTGGGGGGTGGGGCTGAGAAGAGGTTAGACCATAGTTTCTGAACTTTGTTCCAGTACCAGGTCACTTCAGGACAGAAGAGTAGGCAGTGTGAGATATCTTCAGGCGTGTTTTCGTTGCACATCGCGCAGATTTCCGAGCTGTTCAGGTCTGAGCGTTTCCTTCTTTTGTGAAGCCATTGGTTGACCGGGAGGGCTAAGTGTGCAAGGAGCCATTGCGTACTTCGGATTCTAACTGGTATGATAAGAAGGTATTTGGCCCACGGGATGGAGAATTGGGCCGGTGGGTCCAGATTCAGGCTGGTCCACCATTTCTCTACCTTGGATTTGGATCTGTGGTCTGCAGTCCGAGGTCGTAGCCGAATTTTACATCGTATTGGTAGATTGTTCTAGACTTCCCTGAGGTTCTAGCCTTTCTCTTTTCTTTCTTTGTTTATCCTTTTTTTTTCTTCTTCCTCTTCTTTAATCTCTTTTTCTTTTTCGTTTCTCATTTTTCTTTCTTTTCTTCCTTAACACCCTTTAATCGAATAGCGGGTCTCGCGAATCGCTCCCGCGAGATCCCGCTTTCCGCTGTTGGGAAACGCGGTGGGACCGGTAGGCGGGCCCGACAAACAAAGCGTGAGGCGTTCGGGGCGGGCCGGCCCGGCGAGGCACGGGTTGGACGGAGGCCGCCGTTTGTTCAAACTTGGTCGTCTTTTCGCTCCTTGGGGCCACGTTTTCAGAATCTGACGGCCAGATTCCTGAGAACTCTATCGGGCCGCTCATTTGCTTCGGCCTTCGGGTTGGCGGCCCGCTCATTCGGTTCGGCCCCCTCGGCGCTTCGCTCGCTGACGATCGACGTTCGCTTCGCTCGCGAGACACACACACAGCAGGAGAGGGCATTGAGCAGAATGAGAGCGCAGATCCACGCGCGGAGGAGGAAGACGCTTCATCAAGTCTCGGTCGAAGAGCTGGATACCGTGGCCATCACTGAGAATGTAGGTCAGGTTTGCTGCACCATGGGTTGCAATGTTCTTCCACGAGCGACATCGAGGTGGTGGATGAAAAGGAGGACGGGGGGGGCGTGGGAGTATCTCAGGCAATGCAATGATGTGACGGAGGAGTACTTCCGGGAGAAGCTGCGTATGTCGGCCATGCACCCTGCCGAGGATGCGGACGTGGAAGAAGACGACAAGGACAAGCAAAAGGATGACCAGGAGCAGCAGCGGCAGCCTTCGAAAGACGTCAGCCATGAAAGGCAAGTGTGGAAGGGCAGTAGCTTGTTGACGATGGTACACCTCCAGCAAATGCCGACGAAACGGTCTGCAAATGGCAGACCGCAACATGGGACAAACGTCTTATTACGTTTTTTCGTCGCGGAATACCGTGGGCAATCGGAGCGAGGGGGGCCGACTGAAGTATTCAACTTTGCCGACCATTTGACCCCTTTTCGTCTATGAAGCCGTATGAGCGCGCGTAAGCGCGAGCGCGCGCGCTTTATCCCCCCCCCCACGCTCAAAGCGCTTAAAAAAAAAAAAAAAAAAAAAAAAAGAGAGGGTTGCGCGAG